ACAAGGGTGGAAATCATTTTAAGCTAAAACATGTTGGTAAGGATAAGCTTGACAGACAGGGGATGTTGCCAGAGAATATGGAAATCAATCCACGTTTGGTGGATGAAGCTAGGCAGAATCTCATTGAGATGCAAACACAAGGGGAAGAATCACAAGAGATGCGGGGAAGTGAATCTCAGTTCATAACTGATGATGAGGCTCATCATCAAGAATGAATTGGGCAAGGACATGTTTTTTGTATATAGGGAAGTGTACAATTTTTTGTATGTACACTTTCAAAGGAACATCTTTACATGTAGGGGAAGTGTACAATTTATGTATGTACTGTCATGCATGCCTAGCCTACAATATCAAAATGTAGAGGCAGTGTAGTTTATTTTTTTGCTAATGTTTTTGTACACTTATTGGCAGACATGTGTGCTATGAGGTCATTTGTAGTTAAGGGACATATGAAGTGCAAACAGGTAGACATAGGAGTCAGAAAGCACATATACAAACACATAGCCTCCTACACTTAACCAAAGTGGGTGACATATGCAGTTAAGGGACATTTGAAGTGCAAGCAAGTAGACATAGGAGTTAGAAAGCACATATACAAACACATATATAGCCTCCTACACTTAACCAAAGTGGGTGGCATATGCAGTTAAGGGACATTTGAAGTGCAAACAAGTAGACATAGGAGTCAGAAAGCACATATACAAACACATAGCCTCCTACACTTAACCAAAGTGGGCGGCATATGCAGTTAAGGGACATTTGAAGTGCAAGCAAGTAGACATAGGAGTCAGAAAGCACATATACAAACACATAGCCTCATACACTCAACCAAAGTGGGTGCACTAGTACAAAAAAGCCTTTTCACATCGCCTTATCTACATGTGTTATTTCAAAATCCATGTGAAATAATGACACGAGGTCATTTTTACAATTTTTAAAAACCTTTTTACATTGGTTTTTGTTATAACCGATTTTAAATAGTAAAACGGGTTACTTTTTAAAATTTTACGAAATATTCTAAATCGTTTATCTTTTGAACCGATGTGAAAAAAAAACGGGGTACTTTTCAGAAATACCGAAACATTATTCTAGATGGGTTAAAACCCATGCGGAAGAAACATAAAAAATATCTGCTCAATTCGACTTCAAAATTTTGTCACGCCTGATCGATTGCAGACCTAGAAGGCAACCTGGCGTATGTGAGTGCGATCTCTCTCTGGTAGCGTCGGTCTCACGCCCGAAGCCTGTGCGGTAGCGATGGCGAAGGGACATGAACCGGCGACTGCTCCAATCGCTCAGTCATACGCAGCGGCGGTAAGAGATATCCTCCCCGGGCAACGACTGCACTGTCAACAACATCTTTTCTCCGATGTGGACTTCAACGGAATGCCAGTCAAATCGCCCAACCGATTTAAGGGTTTTCCAGATGTTTCGTTCACTAGAGATGACGTTAAGGTCCTTGCCTCTAAATTCTGATTCGCCCTAGTTGGGACCTTCCCACTCAAACGACCACCCATCTCTGCTATACGGAAAGCTATGGAAGCGATTGGTTTTTCTGACCATACTGCCTCAGGCTTCTTCACTCGCACCGAATTCTGGTAAATTTCCGCTCAGACTCTGATTTTCAAAGATTTTGTCTGAAAAACATTTGTGCAGGCCACCAAAAATGTTATAATTGTTGCCTGTGCCCCTGTTATTGGTAACGCAACTGCCTAGGCAGCCTCCAGTGCCCCTGTCCCTTTACTTAGAGATTAAAGCCAGGTTTCACATATTGATATGTAAAGCAACTGCCCAGGCAGCATCTAGTTCACCTATGTCCAATAAGTGGTATGAACCAGTCCATTGATCTTATTTCATGTGATATTAAATTCTACCCGTATGGTGGCCGTTTATTTCCTAGTTGCTATCTATTTTCTTTGTGTTGAATTTGAATTGGTTGCCATTTATTTCCTCTCCTACTGCAGCTTCTACCTTCTCTTCCTTACTCCTAGGTCAGCTTATGTTATTTGGGTTTAGGCTTACAAGCCCGTTGCTTTTTTAGTTATTTCAATTAAAATTATAGCTTTGTTGTGTGGGGACTACATGATGTTGGAACATGACACATATAATTAGTATTTTCAACATAAAAATGGCCTTACCGTTTTGGATTAAACTGTAAAAATGTTTGCTGGCAGCTTCCTAATTCTATATTTTTGTGTTTGAGTGAGCATTTCGGCTTGTTAAAACTTCATATGTAGAAGTTTAGGAACTCTAAATGTAATCGTTGTTATCTCAGTAGTCTAGTATAAGCAATTATCTAAATATGAGTACCTGAAAAGCTGAATGTGCTATAACGAATGAATTAATTCAAATCTTGACATGATTGTTGATGGGTGACCTTTGGTTGGACTTTATCAGGAGGAAACACCTTTGCACATGGTAAATGCAGCTCATCCGAGTATCGGCATATTAACATTTTCATCAACTTTTATTCAGGTAATTTTCAGAGAAGTAATGAGTGAAGTGATGGAATATTATTTGTGTAATAAAAGCTTGTTTAGCACACAACATTTTTATTCTGTCATATATAGACCATAGTGCTAGAGGTGAATGCATATGGTTAGTGTTTTACTCGGGGTTGCCAGATTAAGTTGATGTCTTGTCTAATTGCTTTTATGGTTGTTGAATTCATATCCTTTTCAGTCTTTTTCAGGTTTCATCATCACGAGCAAAACCACTCCACTCCCAAATAGTTGGGTTCGGTGGCATAAAATTTACACTTTCAGTTATTGATCTCAATATAGTTCCGTATAGATTTATGCAAAAGACATGGTAGTAAAGTTTAAAGTTGGAATGCCTGTTATGACACAATATCTGTACGAAGAATAACTATTTTACTTATAACTTTCATGTGTGGAGAAAATGATGGGAATGAATGATGAATTGAGATATTTTATATAATCATGTTCTATTACAAATCAATATTGTTAAAACCAACATGCAAATCATTGAATGAAAGAGACCTTTTCCGTCTTGATTCTTACTCTTTTTTTATTTCCTTGAGTTTGCAGGTTAATATATTTTATACAGATCCCGAATACAAATTCAAGCTCCTAAGGACATCCTTTTCCCCCAACCTAAAGTAAGTAGCTTATTTTCGCACCCTTTTAGAACCTTTATACAGCTGGATCACAGAATAAATGTAGTGTGTATCATCAAGGCTAAAGAACTTAATGATATATAATGTTCTATTTGGCCATAACTCGGCCACTTAATGTCTCTCAACTTCTACAGGTTGATGCGGCAGGTTTTTCCTTCAAGCTAAAGCAAGCTGTGAATTATCCTCTAGTGTCTTCTAAGAGTTTCTTCTCAATGGTTTGTTTTACTGCTCGAATTTTCAGTTATATGCAATATTTTTAATAATGGCTTGAATGCCAACATTAGAAAAGTAAATTAAAGTTAATCAATTATCCCCATTTCCTTTCTTGTAAGGTGAACTCGGCTTTCAATGGAAAACGTAAGATGTAGCAAAAATCAAGAAAGGGAAAAGTGAAATGGATTATTCCTACGGTAAATACTTACTACTTTACTTTGTATGTTATTTTTACTTTCATTTGTGTAGCACCAAGTCGAATACCGTAATTCTTGATTAGTAATTATGTTGTTCTAACTTGTAGTCTTGAATGCAAGTTAGAAGTTATGAATGTGGTTATTATGTGATGTTGCATATTTTGAATATTATTTCGGCGATAATTCTTGAAATGTGGGATGAGTTACATTATTATTTTATTTACATTCAATAGGTTTGATCCATGTAATGTTTTTTAATAATCTTCTTATTTAATTTGTAGCAATTCACCAATCCAGAACCATTCTCATCAGAAGAGATTGATGAAGTACGAACTCGTTGGGCATCATATTTCTTAGAAATGACACAATCCATCAACGACACATGATGAACGTGTTTGTTTAAGTTTTCGAGTGATGATGAGATTTGTAAATTTATACAATGTGTTATTACTCTAGACTTGTGCAAGGATTGTTTTATTTTAGCTTTTTATGATGTACTAAGTTGTTACTTGAACTTTTTTAACATTTGTGGAAGAATTGAAAAATAGCTTGTGTTATTGTTTTAGATGGATCAAGTAAACATGTGAAAAATTGTGCTATAGTAGTTGATGATATTGTTCATGATGTGATTATAGTATAAACAGGGGTCATATTGCAATTTTTTTTCCTGAAAAATACCGAAAAATTGAAGCTTTTCACATCAGTTGTAAAATAACCGATGTGATTGCTTTTCTACATGGGTTATAACCGATGTGAAAAACCTATGCTCCGGAAAAAATGAAGCTTTTCACATCGGTTGATAAAATGACCGATGTGAAATCTTTTCTACATGAGTTATAACTGATGTGAAAAACCTATGCTCCGGGAAAATTTGAAGTTTTCTAGATCGGACACTGAACGACCGATGTGGAAAGAATTTCCACATCGGTTCATTGACCGATGTGAAAAGTCTTTACTTTTCAGATGAGCTGGAACCACATCGGTTGTTTGACCGATCTGAAAAGCCTTTTTTGACCAATGTGAAAAGCCTTTTTTGTACTAGTGGTGGCATATGTAGTTAAGGGACATATGAAGTGCAAGCAAGTAGACATAGGAGTGTGAGAGCACAAATACAAAGACATAGCCTCCTACACTTATTCAAAGTGGGTGGCATATGTAGTTAAGGCAACAACACATAAATTGGCTTTAAATGTGGGACCATCATCAGTTTACTCATTCAGTAACCATACAACCCCCATCATCATCAGTAGAAGCAGTAAGCTAAGCACACAAAGGGCAAGTACTTTAAGTGAAGTGCCTCAGATTAGTGTAAGTTGAGCCCTATCATCATTAGCAAATAGCACAAATACATAGACATAGCCTCCTACACTTATTCAAAGTGGGTGGCATATGTAGTTTGGCATATTCATAGTTAAGGCTCATGCAGAAACAGTAATTAAGAAAGAAGCTAAGTAATTTCATCATTTGTCAGATTAATTAGCCAATAAGCACAATTTCAGTTTCGAATTGGGCAAAAACCATACGCAATACACATACTGTAGGATTACAGAGACTTCCCTTAAGGAGTGTCCCGAAATACATCCGCATAGGGATCTGGAAACAGCCAGTCGAAGGAGTTAACCTCCTCGCCTTCTTCAATCGATTCTTGAGACTCAGCGCACTGGGATCCATACCACTTCCGCAGCTTCCAACATGGATCGGTGTCCGATGATGTTGACCACCCACATGCATGGTCAGATTCTTCATTGTCATCAGTGTATTCGAGGGGAACAATTTGAGAATGGGTGATCGATCCTTTTTCAGAACCACAGGGGCTAGGGTTTGTTACAGGTGGGTGGCCATCAGAAATGGATAGCCGTTTGGAGTCTGATTTCGATGGTGACACAAAAACGGGTTGTTCATCTGCGGGAGGTGTAGGGTTGGTGAAGGATTCCATGCCCTTAAGCCAGAAGAAGATGTTCGCACGTTGCAGAGAGAGAGAACGCGAGTGGGGAAGGTGAGTGGCGAGAGTAAATGTGGCCGGATAAAGTGGGGAAGGTGGGTTGAGAGAGTTATTGGGAAAGAAGGGTAAATAAATGGGATGTGTAGATTAGGCATTTCATATAGAAATTCCTTCCATTTATGGAAATGGTAACTTTCCAGTGGGACGTCCAAAAAAGGAAACCGGGAACTTTCCAGCGGGACGGAGGGAGTACATCCATAATTGTTACTCCGTATTAGTTATTACATTTTGTACTATTATAGTTTATATGAAATTCATTAACTATGTAATGTGAAAATTGATAATTGTGTGGATTTTTGGATGATGACTAATTTTTCATTTGTCGAAAAAAGTGGCATTGTTTGACATTCGTATGACATGGTACCTAACCGTTTGAAAATGGAACCGTACCGAACGGGTTTAGATCTAAGATCGAACCGAACCGAACCGTTTCAATAGTAACGGTCCGGATACGGATTCGGTAAAATATTGGACCGGACCTGACCGCGCCTACCCCTACATCCAATCCAGGAGGTTGGTATTGACAAGAGCAAATACTATAATAGGTTTAAAAGAATATTCCAAAAAATGTAAATAGAATCTCAAACTTCCATTTGTAAGACATATTTAATGTACACATATTATATGTTTGACAAAATGATTAAGACATCAATTTGCATTGAAGCAAATATATGCATACTATTAATTTAATAGAAATTACTCTAATAGGGAGTTTTTCCCCGAAATAATGCTAATTAAATAAATTATTCCTGAATTACTGCCGGGTTAAGAATAATTCCCAAAATACTACTGGAATTAACCACGGTTAAGGAAAGCCACCACTCCGAGCGGCGGCTCTTCTCTTATAGTACAAAAGCCGTCACTTCAAGTGGCGGCTCTTCTCTTACGGCCCATTTTGTACATATATAAAATGTAGTATGTTTCAAGAATTTGTTTAACTACCTTCCCGATTGAAATTTGAGCTGAAATTTGGTATTCGTAAACTAGACTTGATGAGGAACATGATCAAAAAAATTCATCAAAAAATTCCACCGGAAACACCCTCTGATGGTGTTGTTCGCGGGGGGTTCCGGTCAGGATGTCATTACAAAAGGGTGGTCTAGCCACCTCAATTTGAGGTGATTCCCGATGAGATGTTTGCTGAATTTTTTTGTGTATGTTATTCACCAAGTCTAGTTAATACATACCAAATTTCAGAACCAGTCTCAATCGGGAAAGCAGTCAAATGATTTTTTAAAAAATAACTGCCTTTTATATGTATAATCCGGCGTAGTTATATTTCAAAAACCATTTGGAGGCCTTTCCGATTGAATGTTTTGCTCAAATTTGGTATGACTGAACTAGACTTTATTAAGAACATACACAAAAAATTTCATCAAAACATACAACCGGTAACCACCTCAAATTAAGGTGGCCGGACCACCCCTTTGTCATGACGTCCTGACCGGAACACCCCGCGGACAACACCATCAGAGGGTGTTTCCAATGGATTTTTTTGATGAATTTTTTTGAGCATGTTCCTCATCAAGTCTAGTTTATGCATACCAAATTTTATTTCAAAATTCCATCAAAAAGGCAGTTAAAAAATTCTTGAAATATACTGCGTTTTATATATGTACAAAATGGCCCGTAAGAAAAGAGCTGCCACTTGAAGTAGCGGATTTTGTACTATAAGAGAAGAGCCGCCACTCGGAGTGGCGGCTTTTGTAAAGTAACACAAGAGCCGTCACTTGGAGTGGCGGCTTTCCTTAACCGTGGTTAATTCCAGCAGTATTTTGGGAATTATTCATAACCCGGCAGTATTTCGGGAATAATTTATTTAATTAGCATCATTCCGGGAAAAAACTCCTAAATAGGAGCAAAAACGTTTTGAAATTCCAAAATAGAAGTATCATGATTTTTATTCCCTCAATAGAAGTGATCTGCCAAGTTTGGAATAAAATGTCATGTTTTAAAGCCTAGTAATGCCAAACTTGGCAGAAATTTACTCATATTCAAGGTATAAAAAACATGATAGTTCTATTTTGGAATTTTAAAACTTTTTTACTTCTATTTAGGAAATTCTCCCTTAATTTAAGCAATGAAAAGTCGATATCATAATCCATTTTTGTAAATTTACACATTTTTTAATTAAAAATATGCGCATGAAAATTATGTAAATTTTAGGAAATTGATATTCGATCACATTTACTACCATCGCTGGACGAAGTAAAAGTTAATCAGCAATAATCATATTCGTAAATTTGAAACGAAAATAGATACTCCGTAGGTACAAGACATAATTTATTTTTAAAGAGTAACACGATCTTTCAAAAAGAGAAATATGGATAGAATTAAGGAGTTCCTTAAGATGTACGGAGTATTATATATAAAAAATACACATGATAAGTGATAGAGTATTAACCTTTTGAGAGAAGTGAGAGTTAGAGAGAGAAAATATGCTAAGTGATAGTACAATAAATATGCAATCAATGTATTTGTAATCCCTTAAACCTACCTCCAAGGGGAGTATTTATAGGGAAAATATGGACTGAGCTCCCAAGTCTTGGGCTTGGGAGGCCCGATTACAATGAGGCCTCTATTGAGCCGAATACAAAGCATGTAAAGTGGCTAAGTATGAAATCCGACTCTGTGAGCTCTCTGTAGCCGACGGAGACATGGCCGATGGAGACCCGACCGATGGGGACACCTCGGTTCTCCTGGCTTCTGGATCATATTCTGAGTTGATGTCTTTCCGGCCGATGGAGGGCCATCTGGCCGACGGAGGACCCACTGGGTGACATATGTGCCTCTTATTCTTCTGAGTATGTGGGTCATGGGGTCTGGACCCATATACTCCATCAGGAGTCCCCTACTCTATGAGCTGAGATGCAGACGAAGTGAAAGAGAGTAGATTCCCGTGGTCTTGACGTTTTTGGTTATTCTCTGTGTTTGGCCGTTGTGTGGCCTCTGCTGTGGACGAAGGAGGTCCTTGCTCTGAGGATGGTGCGTGCTTTTATGCTTGAGGACGATTGTTGTCCTAACTTGAGTAGCCGATGAGTCATGAGTGTGATGTTGTTTTTCCTATTTTGGCCGGAGGCAGAACATTTGGGCTTTGGACGTTTCACTGGTGTTGGCGTTCTGATTCGTGTCCGCTGGGGGCTCACGTGTCTTTGGACGAGGTGTGTCACGTTTTGGACGTTGTGGTGTGCAGATGATGTAATGTCATCATTGTACTTGTATGCTTGGTTTCTTGAAGGCCGATGTAGTCCCCCAGTCCCCCACTGCTTCAGGCCGAAGGATGAGTGAGGGGTGAAGGAGTAAAGTAAAACCCCAGGTTGAAGCAGGATCCTCGTATTTCCCCTGAATCCAACCTTTTGGCGATTCTTGGCCAAGGTAACCCTGTGGGAGAACCCTTGGACGCAGGTCGCTTTCAAAAGTTTATCAGCAGTAGGTTTTATGCGAGGACCGATGGCTGTTAGGTTCTACTCTACTTCGCTTTTGTGACCGTTGAAGAGGCCATGCTGTTGGTGATATGTCCGGCCGATACGGGCGCACCTTGGGGCTTTTGTTGCCGAGGTGGCTTCCTGACATGGGGCAAGCAGTTGAAGTGCTGTTGACTGCTTTGGTGTGGCCGTTGAATGTTGTGGCCGATGTAGGCGCTACTTGCTGGTTCGTTGAACCGTTGAGTTTCCCTTGGAAGTGGGTTGATAGTGCTGAAAGTGGGCCTGACCCATGTTTTGAAGCGGTGGCACCTCATTGGTCATGGGGGGTGGCCGTTCGTGTGACCCCTTGGGGGGTGCCACATGTAGTGACCGTTGGGAGGAGGTCTATAAGTACCCCTCCACTCCGTAGCGAGTTCCTCGTTTGCAATCTGCGAGAATGAAGTGTTGCCGGATTCTAGAGAGATAGAGTGTTCATCAGTGTTCTTCGCCCCCTTCAAATCTTCAAGGTTAGTCCCTTGCTTGTTCCTTCCTTTTCTCTCGTACTTTGCTTCCCTAGGGTGTGATCTAGTGTTAGCCAGAAAACTCTTGGATTCCAAGTAGCTCTCCTTAGGATTTGAATAGATGTTATGGTGAAATCGTTGGACGAAGAGTACTACCCCTACGACGAAGAAGCCTCTGCCAAGTCGCTTGATTACGGAGTAGTGGAGGAGTGTTGTGAGGAGATTGATGAGATGAGCTCCTTCAAATCAGGGGAGCAGGAGGACGAGGAAAGTGTGGACGAGGACGTCGCTTCGTCATCATAGGGTGAGGACGTTGGAGTCTCTCGTGCGGTGGACGGAGCCTCTACATCGGCCACCATTCCGTGCCCTGATCCCCTTTCTGCTGTCAAAGCGAAAGGGCCCATGGTAGGCGTCCCGCCGAAGAGGAGGCGTCGGCCAAAGAAGGGTCCGGGCCTCTCTTACTTGGATCTTACATATCTGTACATTATCAAACCGCAGAGCAACGCTGGCGAGGACTACGTCGCCCAAATGTATGTTGGCCCGTACGCCTGGGTTAGGGCACCCAGGCCGACAGATCACGTACTCAATCCTCCGACGGGGTACTTTGAGGTATACCCCATGATCTTTGCTAAGGGGCTCAGGTTCCCCCTTCATCCATTCATCACGGAATATCTAGACATGGTGGATCTTCGTCCGGCCTTGTTAACCCTGAACAGCTACTCACTGATCGTCGGGTTCCTGCTTTGGTGCTCTGAGCTTGGCATTGTGTCAACAACGACTCTGTTTATGAACCTGTACCAGATAGGCCGAGGCATCCACAAGAACTGTGCCGGTTACGCCAATCTTCAGTAGGTGAAAAACAAGAGGTCCTTCACTGATCTCCCCTCGTCCATCCATGGGTGGAAGTCCAAGTTCGTTTTTGTGACTTTAGGCGAGGGTGGTGATTTTCCTCGTCCATCCATGGGTGGAAGTCCAAGCTCAGTGTAAAAAATAGTAAACACCCATAAAAAATATGGATACCTTTTCCACCGCCTCCCAGCACCACCACCTCTGATCGGTGAAAATTCTGTCATTTTTTGTAAAAAATGCCACTGTTTCTGAAAATGACAAGAAAATGGCATCATTACTATTCGTAATG